AAGCACAAACTCAAGCCTTCTTGAAGTTATAACTTTAAATACTTTATTCTAGTGTTCACAGATACGTTGTTGTAATGATTGATTGTTGTTTGAGTTATTGTTGCTTTCCTATCAGCTGGAGTCTGGCCACTTTCCTCTGCTGCTCACTGGATATTTTTGGATTATTATCCATAAATCATAGAAATGGTTGTGTGGGAAAATCCCAGTAGATCAGAAGCTTCTGAAATACTCACGCCAGCTGAGAAACTGCAATGTTGCATTCGTTTACTTAAATCACCTTTCTTCCCTATTCTGAATTTCAGCAAGTTGCCTTGATCATGTCTACATGTCTAAATGCATCGACTTTCTGCTAAGTGACTGGCTGATTACAAAACCAATTGGAAAAAGTTGGGACACTGAAATGCAAGTGAAAACAAAATATAATATTAGTCATATTAAGTCATATTAAAAACAAACAGTGGGAGGAGCATTATTTAACTACATAGGGCAACTGGCAACAGATCAGTAACATGACTGGGTATAAAATGAGCATCTTAGAAAGGCAGAGTTTCTGAGAAGTAAAGATGGGATGAAATTTGATGAATTTCTCAAAATAAAATTGCAAAGAGTAAATATCTTCAAAGATTTGGAGGATCTGGTGAAATCTCCGTGTGCAAAGAACAAGATCAAAAATCAATACTGAATGACCGTGAACTTCACGTGGTGCTGCATTAAACACAGACATGATTCTGTCATGGAAATCAGTGCATGGGCTCTCTGTCTGTGAACACAGTTCACTGTGCCATCCACAAGTGGAGGTTATTTATCTAAATTTCAGGAGCGAGACCACACCTCGTACACTCTTCTTCCAGTAATCTGTCTATATATGCTTCCTGCACTACAACCCATTGTTCTCATTTGAGTCTCCCAGGCACACCTCCTCCTTTTAATGCATTTCCTTCTCATTAGTACGTGGGGATCCACCTGCCAGTCCCCTCTGAGGCCTTCCCCAGACCACAGCATCAGTTCACTGATGTTACAGGTTGTTGTGGAAATAAGGGGATGCTGCACAGACATGACCCAGGCCCAACTTTTTGACATGTGTTGTTGCCATCAAGGTACAAAATAAACCACTTTCTCAGTTTATAACAATATGATTATAATTATTATCCATTCATT